TCTTGCACAGATTCCTAGAAGCCTTATGGGGAGATAACAAAATACTTCAACTCAATACTGAGATTTTATTTTGCACCTTGACATGGCTAGTCTTCAAAAATGGCAACATAAATAAAAAAGCAAGTCCCGGTGTATAATAAAAGCAAGACAAACATCAATTTCATATGTGCCAGGAACATAAAGAATGCCAAATACAAACACTTCCTAACATGCTTCCACAGAAATCTCTGTCCAGATCTGGACACAACCTTTTTGCATGAAAAGACATGAAAAATATCCCTCAAAAATGTAAAGCAGGAGTAGCATGCCAGAGGTAATGATGAATTAAATACATAAAAATAGGTCCTATGCCTCTGTAAGCATTGCATTGTAATATTTACATTACAAAGGTTCTGTATACTTCATATACATTATAATCACAAGAAACCTTACAAGAATTATGGTCAAAATCTTGCTGCTTAGCATAGGACATCATACTAGTGTAAGCTGACTCAATTAATGGGGAGTTGGCAAATCAACTCCTCCATATGTTCCACTGACTCAAATGGGTCTACTCTAATTGTGACTTAGTTTTGCATTGTAAACCAAGAGTAAGCCCATTTGAATCAATTCAATACATTAATGGATGTTAATGGATTCATATTGTTTTGTATTTTTTTTTCTGTTAGCCGCTCAGAGTGGTATAACTATACTAGATGGGCGGGATATAAATCAAATAAATAAAATAAATAACAATCAATAAACTACCTATTAATTCACTGGGTCTACTCTACTGCAGTTTACTACACTAAGCAATAGAATTTTGGACTATAATCTAATGACTGACATCTTGTTGCTTAGTGTAGCTAATTTACAACTAAAGTAGGCCCATTTACTCAAAGAAACATATACAGTGGTGCCTCACAAGACGAATGCCTCGTGGGACGAAAAACCTGCAAGATTGTTTTTTGCGATCACTATGGTGCCTCGCAAGACGGTTTCTTCTATTACCATGCTTTGCAAGACTTTTTTTAATGACTGATCCCTCACAAGACGAATAAATTTCATTCGTCTTGCGATATGATTTTTTCGCAAGACAGCACTTCTCGTGAAACGAATTACATTCGTCTTGCAAGGCACTACTGTACAGGCATGGATTCACCACATCCCCACTGATTCAATGGGCTTACTCTAGTTGCAAACTTAGAAGTTTAAGCAACAGAATCAGTCAATGCTGGACCAATAACATAGAGGGTCTGAAACAAAGAAGTAGTGGTTTGTCTAAGTGCTACAATGTGAGTTTAGGAGTTAAGAGTTGCTGGGTAACTCAGTGGTTTAGACATTTGGCTGCGGAGCCAGAGGTTGGGAGCTCAATTCCTGACTGTGCCTCCTTGACAAGAGTTGGTTGTTTTTACTATTAAACATGGGGTATTTGTATTTGTATCCCCAGGGATATGAATACCTGTAACACAGGTGTCTGGGAAGTCCAGTTCTTCCCCTTAAACCAGCAGATCCAATTACTGGTTGCAGTGTGGCACACACAGCCAGCATCATTCCCATCATGCTAATCGCCAAAGTAGCCTAGCCAATGCTTCCCCGTCTCCCCGTACAGCCGACCACTCTGTCAAGGAGATAGGATGACTAATCTTCCCATTCATCTGTTCAGTAGTCACCAGAGAGGTGGGGAAGTGCCAGCGGGGCTACTTCCATGATTGGTGTGATGAGATGGATACTGGCTGTGTGCACTATGCAGTGACCTGCCAGTTTGGGGGAGAAGGACTGCACTTCCCAGGCACCTCCCCCAGGGACACGAATATGAATATGCCATGTCTAATCATCATCATCATCCATAGGGTCCTTTCCAGTTCTGCAGTTTTAAGATAATGATGAAGAAGTTACAATTGGGGACTATATAGTTCACAGTTTGGTGTGAACTGCTACTCCACAAATTCTATTCTAAATTAGGTTGGATTTTTTTTAAAAAAAATTGGTATTATGCTGAAGCCAACTAACAATTCTTAAAATTCAAACCAGAACTACTCTGAAAATTTTCTACGCAAGTTTTTATAGCTTAGAATCCATCACCTGTTTTCACGTGTTGCAATCAGTTAATTCACAAAAGATGTTTGTTTTTATATTCAATTCAGATATTTATAATAATCCTGGTTGCAGATATTACAAATTATGAACTGCATACTGCTAAGTATATATCTTTTTAACTGAATCAATTGAATATAACTTTTTAAGTTAAGAAGTCTCACACAACAGCAAGAAGAAACACTCATGAAAACTGACTGAAAACAGTTATAGCAAACTTGTCAAATGTGTCTGTTTTCAGTCACTTCAACTAGTGTATTAACTGCAACATTTTAGTAATAAGGAAATTGCTTTAACAGCAAATATATCCGCCTCATATTTCAACAAATTAATCACTGTTACAGTTTTCCAAATCCAGCACTATTATTAATTTGCATCACAATGTTCCCACCCATCTGCTGATTCAAAATCTTGAAATGGATCTCAGAAAATCAGATACATTTTAAAGATTGATATGGTATACACAAGACACTTTTAACCTATATATATTATATGATATATATAAACATGCACTTTTTGTATATATTCTTAAACAGTGTGACTGATCACACTAAATGTCAAAGAAAGAATCCCGCTCAAGGAGTTTGTGCATGAACTATTGAGCTGGCATCCCCTTCTTTCCTTTCCAGAAATAAACCAAACCACACCTCCACTGTATAGCAATAAGATATTCAGTTTCAAGTATGGTAGCCAGTTCCAAACTTAAGCAGTCTAGCCATATTGCAGCATCCTGAGGAAGAATCTTGTTCTACTCATGCTACAGAGTAACAAGATTTACAGAGCCTGCACAAGGAAATACTGTACCTAAAATACAAATGGAAACGCCTCTGGGTTTCAGCATGACAATCTCAGCTTACACAATGGAAACTGGGCAGAGCTATCTAGCAGAGTGTTATACTTTGTTTTCTACCCTACATGTCTCAGATGTTCAACTAAGTGTGGGACGCATGGTCCTCTCTTGCTGTTTAACCCCAAGCTCTGTTAGTCAGTGGCATGTTGCCTCTAAATAAGTAGGTTACATCAACTAATGATGAACTGATTCTTCAGGTATTTATCCTGTTCTCTTCTACAGACATTGCAGCTAGGGTCATTATGACATATTATGCCCATAACCTCTATCAATTAGTTATAGATTGTGTGAATTACCTCAGTTTATCTTGCCAGAATCTACTGCCATGCAATCTGATGAGAAGAAGGAATTCTACAGGAACTTCTGTAGTTTCCCCCTACACTGTGTACGATTTTAAGTTTATCACCACTCTTCCATTTTGCCTTTTGCACCAAAATGTTATGAGCTTTTGTTTTAGAAAGTGTTATGAAAGTGTCTCATCTGAATAGGAGCAATGAACACCTATGATAGGTTTTTAAGTAGAGCCTCTTAAAATGTTAACACAATGTGTGGGTGATACAGTGCTGGCCCCTCCCCAATGCTGAACAGATCATGTGCAGAATACAAAAATGCTGCCTCTGCACAGGACACTATTATGTCAGCTATGTGTATAATGTTCTCATGTACAGACTGCCATGAAAGACAAAGGTGATTGATTAGAAGTAATATTAATGGCCATATTATGTTCTCTCTAATGCTATCATGCTTCTAATGTTAGCATTTAACACAGACTCTGAACTTATTTATCAAAACTAAGCTGGAAGCTTTTATTCAGTTGAATAGTCTTCTATGTTTTGTTTTTCACTAAATGTTGAAATGAAAAAAATTGAACAATTTTTATAAATATTGACATTTCATAACTATTAAAAAAATCCAGGAAAATAGAACAAAGCAATTAGTGTGGGATTTATACCTTCAGTTAGCAGTAATAACTCATGTTTAAAGCAGATGAGGAAAACCCATGGATTTCACATCTAAATACTCTTTAACAGTTGTAAATAAAAAAAGTACATATCATTATTATAGTAAAGTAAGAGGTTAAAGCATAAAGAAAAAAAATCTACTCCATACCAAAATGAGAAATCCTCATACTCCACTGGATGGAGACACATTTTCTTTAGCCGCCAAAGCAGGCAAAGGGGAGGGGGGAAGAGAGAGGTTAAACTACACATCATTATGGTTAAAATAATGATGTATGTGAAAGCAACCAATTCTGAGCATTACTCCAGCAAAACCTGTAGTTTGCAAATCAAATGTTGTTACAGTAGAGAAATCCGATGGGAATAACAGTGTATGCTAGAGAATGACAGCGACTAACCCTGATCCGGGCCCAAGGTGAGATGGAGAGTGAGAGAGCCGAGGAGAGAGAAAAGGAACCTCCTACTCCTACCTACGCTTTTCTACCTCACCCGTCGTTGTAGTAAAGGGGGAGAGAAGGGGTAGTGGAAGAGAGTACGGAGCGCTCAAAGGAGAGCTAACTGTATTTCTCGCGAGGGCTTTTTTTTCTTTATATGTTTCCAAGCAGTACAACAGCGGGTTAAGAGAGATGAAGCCTGACCAAGTTTGGAAGCCAAGATTAGTACCACTCCATCTACACCCACATCAGAACAAGGATAACAAATGCTCACGTGAGCTTGCATTTCAGTCCAGTATATTAGCCATCCCGGAGGGAGGAAACTGTCTTTATGGCACAAAATATGCAAAGCAAAACCAAAACCAAACCAAAAATATATAAAAATAAACCCCCCCAAAACGGGTCTCCCTCTTAGACCGCACCCTGAAGGTACATCCCCTTCTCTGCACGGCTCGCCCAACGTTCCCCGCCGCCCATCGTTTACCAGAAGCTCCCTCCTCAATAAACTGGGCAGGGACCGTCTGGCGGGACCTGTGAAGGGAAAACTATCGGGCGGTGGGGAAGGGAACGGAAGGAAGAACTTGCGTAAAGCGCGGCAAATAAACGACCCCTGGTCTTCCCGACTCAGGCACCCGTGCTCTGCCTCCGTCCCGGCTTCTGAGGTGCCCGGTACGCACTCACCTTCCAGCAGCCTGGTGATAAGACTATCCACGTTCAGTTCCCCGTCCGCCATTTTGTAGCCAATGCACTCAGTCCCGGGCGGGGACAGGGAGAGGGCGCTTCACCGAGGAAGAGGAGAAGGAGGCGGCGACGACGACGACGGCACGGAGAGCAACAGCCCCCCCCCTTGAAAAACCCTCCTGCCAGTGGCGTCGAGTCCCTCGAGCGCGGCACCCGAAAGCGCCCAGCCCAGGGGGGGGGGGTCTCCCTCTCTTTCTTTCCCGGCTCCGCAACCCAGAAAAAGAAAAGAAACCGTCAACCCGCCTTCTATTCCCCCCTCCCGCTTGCCTGCCTGCCTTCGTGCCTTAGGCCTTGCCGCGCATGCGCTCTAACTTCGTTTCCACACTCCTTCCCCCTGCCCTTCTTCGCCGCTGTTGCTTTTACTTCAACAACTGCGCGGGAGTATCGAGTTCGGCTTGAAGAAGGTGGAGCAGCTGTCGCTTGTGCAGGGATTGCGCAAGCGCGGCGGAGCTTAAGACTCCGTGCGCTCTCAGAGTTTCACGTGATTGCGCACGCGCTGGAGTTCGCGTGCTTTTGTTCTCATTTCCAGTGTGTGTGTATCTTGGTAACGGGAGGTTTGGGGCCTGGTGTTGTTAATGTGCAGAGCCCGGTTGGGATTATTGAGCCCATCCTACGGTTTTCCCTGCTTCCGCTTTCGAGCATTTGCTGTCAAACGCACATTTATTGTAGAGGAAAGGAAATAATCCCTCTAAACTACAAGAGCCTTCTTTGCATTTCCACAGACCCTTGTCGCATCTTACCAAACAAAAATATCTGTCTTGCACGCCAACTTAGAAGCCTTTTACTGTATAACGTCTTGTCTGATAAAAATGCCAAGTTTTTTAAAGATGGCTTATATTTTTGTGTCCTTTCTGTTGGTCTAAAGCAGAGGTCTCCAAACTACAGCCGGGCGGGCCACAGCCAGCCTGCCTTGCCTTTTTATCCACCTGGTCCAGACTAGGATCTTCCCCCCTCCTCCCCTCCTCACCTTCCCTAACAGCACCTGGCAACAGCATTGGTCTCATGCTCCTCCCCTGCCCTAATGCGTTCTATCCGGGAAACATAGAAGCTCCTGCCCTTTCCCAGGCGAAACCATCAAATCTGCAGCGGGAGAGGGGGTGTTGCGCCTTGGTGGGGCTGCCACTCAGATGTGTACCAAGGCAGGTGGGAGTAGATGGAGAAGGAAAGGCTGCCACCGTTGACCCTTCCCTGTCATTTGCCCCAGGGGCCCGACAGGCTTCGAAGCCCCTCCTGATTCCTCTGCTTCCCCTTCTTTCCCTTCCTCCAGGGCAATGGGCGTTCCCACTCCACTTGCCCTCACTCCCAGAATCAGTGCACATCTTGTCCCTTTGCGCTCTCTTCGCATCCATCTGCCCCATGCCACAGCCTTTACGCGTCTCCTTCTGGGCAGAATGGGGTGAACCCAGCTCCTCTCATGCCTCGGAGAAAGGCCCTGTACTGACCATCTTGCGGGCAGCCTGCCATCTTTTCCCTGACTGCTTGGGAGCATGACTTGGCTGCTCTGCCAGCAAGCAGGCGATGGGCAGGAGGATAACATAAGAGCCCTGCTGGATCAGGCCAAGGGCCCATCTAGTTCAGCTTCCTATATCTCCCCGTGGCCCCACCCAATGTCTCTGGGAGCATACAAGACAACTAGATACCATGTTTTCCCCAAAATAAGACAGGGTCTTATATTAATTTTTGCTCCAAAAAGTGCATTAGGGCTTATTTTCAGGGGAAGTTTTATTTATTTTTTCATGTACAACAATCTACATTTATTCAAATACAGTCATCTTCTTCTGGTTGCAGCATAATAGTGGAAGGTGGAGCCTTCACTTAACTGGGTTTTTTTGGGGGGGGTAGGGCTTATATTACGAGCATCCTGAAAAATCATACTAGGGCTTATTTTCAGGTTAGGTTTTATTTTCAGGAACACAGGGTACCTGTCTC